AACAACCAATTTACACTGCCATGCTGTGAAATTGAAATAAAAAGAAGATCTCCATTCCTTGGCTTGCCTTTATCTGACAAAATTTTCCCTGGCTGCATTGTAGCTAAACACCCGGTTGCTTTGTCTTAGAAAGCACAACCTACTTACATCCGTGGGGGTATTTTGAATGAATCCACAGAACAAAGATTCAAAATAAAAAAGCAGCGCCTTCATTTCTAAGTGCCACTGGCCGCCAGAACACCTATAGAAGAATGATTCTCTGAAGCATGTTGTTCAATCTCTTGATCCCACTTTATAGGCAACTGGTGAAAAATGCTACTCATCCATCCATCTGTCCATCCATCCATTCATCCAACCATCCGTATGTCTATTTTCAGGGTGCGGCTTCTGTGAACCTGGAGACTGGGAACAATGCAGGGGACACCCTGGATTGGGTGCCAGTCAAAAGAAAATAGGCATTGTTTGTATTGCAGATTCATCCAGCAAAGATTAATCAGTTTAGCAGTGTAAGCCAAAGCAAGCCCAACTACGGTTGTTACTAAATGAACCATATCTAATTGGAAGTACTAAAATGAGTTAATAAGGTTCCATTATGGCATTCATGAATGCTCATGCTAGGCACTGGCTGGCATATCCTGCAGAATCGTCCAACAATCAGCACGAAATGCCACAGGCGCTTACGGCATATCGATTTGCAGATTACTACACGCGATGAACTCTTTTCAGTTTGTTTATCTGAAAAATGTGAAGAACAATGGGTGGGAGGGGATTGGAGTCTAGGGACATGTCCGCTGTGAGGATGAGGGGACTGGGAGTGCTGGGTCCAATGCTGCAGCGGTGGCGGCTTGGGGGATCTGTGGGCTGGACTGGGAGCCCTCCTGGATGAAATCTGTTGAGAGATACATATTGCCAACTGGGGGTAGGCGGGATGCCCCCTACGCTTAGTCATGCCTGCCCATGTAGCCATTGATTGGTTGGGAAAATGCCCGACATGCCAGAAGCCTTGCTGGTTGGTACTCCACTGCTCAATCCGGATTTGCGCTAATCGCAATAATTGTGTGCAGGCTTTCCCGGAGAGAAATCAGATTGATACGGTCATAGTGGTGCCTTTTGGCTGAAACCTGGAATTCTAGAGGTCCTCAGTGTTACAAGCTTGGTCAAGAATGGGATCAGATTCTGGAATTTCACTGTCAGCCCCAAACACACACCATCCGAGATGTATGGCTCAAGAAAGAATAATATTGGTGTTGTTTTTTTTTCCCTTTTTTACATTTCCTCTTTCATTTATGAGTAGTATGTTATTTCATTATCAATTTGCATACACTCTTAGGCACACTGCTACATAAACGCTCTACTGGAGCGAATCTGAGCCAAGCTGTACTGGGGATTCCTATAATAATTTCCTTTCCCTGTCATTCTTTTGAATGTGTTACACACACACACACACACACACACACATATATATATATATATATATATATATTTATATATGGAGAAAAAGAGACACAGCGACATAGATACAGATCATTTTTATCCAAATAAGCCTCATATACAACAAATTTTCTCTGCATGTAAAGCTATGCTGTTGTAAGTATACATAATACCGAATACATATGCTGTGTATATCATGTCGCCTGTGCGTGAAGAAAAAAAAAAGTGTCTCTGGATCAAATGAGTCAAAACAGGAAAAAACTGCTAAGAACAACCATTTGTGAAATACTTTGCTTAAATTTACATGAATAATCACCCACTCTAATAATTTTTTAACATGCACCCTTAATGTGGCGTGCGATTACACACATGCTTGTATGAGTATTTGTTATGTAGCTCGAGAGTATATGTTTCCAGTTATATGTTTCTGATTATTAATCATTAATATTCTTATACTTACTGGGTAGTATACTGGTGTAGCGGGCGGGTGGTGTTGGGGGGGTCGAATCCTGCCCTAGCTGTTTCCAGAGTTTCCATGTTCTTCATATGTTGTGTGGGCTTGCTCCTGCAGTCCATTTTGGCGAATTAGCATTTGCAAATTGTCCATTGTGTGTGAATGTGCGTGCAAGTAAATAAGCACCCGCAGTCGGTCCTGCAGTGGTCCCAAGCCCTTCGTCACCCAATACTGGATAAGTTGTAGGAATATGGAGCAGTTTTATTGTTACACATTTATTGTTGTGGTGGAATATCTGGCAATTATCTTTGCAGTATAAATGGCAATAAGGAAAAACTGAAATGAATAAACAAGCAAATAAACAGCAAAGCATTTGGGAGCAACCAAAACTATATATAATTGCACTGTATGCGTACACTGGAATCTGCAACAACTGTAGACATAAACATTCTCAGCTGTGAAGTTGAGTGACTCGGAATCGCTTTGTCCAGTGATCCATAGTCATATTTTACACGCCTCCGCCAAGTGTGGTGTAATAATTGGTATTTACTTGAAGTATTGTCCCCATCGCCATTGTTGTATTTCCTTAACTCTAAAGTGCCACTCAAATATTGTCGCATGGGTCCCACTAATTGAAGTGATTCAGAAGAGCTATTCAATACATATGCCCCAATTGATTTTAAATTTGCAGTTTTTTCCCCATCCTATTAATAAAAAAGACACAGGACAAATGTATGAGCCACCTACAAATGTACCATTATTGAATTTTTTCTTCTTCTCGTGGACCTTCAGTTAGCTATAAACACCAATTAATACATCACAGCTTTTGGTCTTCTCACAGTCAATTTCAATTACTCCTCCAAAAATAAACAGAGAGTCAACAATGGAATGCGATTTTACCTCATGCATTCCTGGAGCCACTGAGAGTACACTTACAATGATTGGTACTTTGAGTCAAAAAAGGTGTATAGATTTTCTAGGATGTCGCTTTGTGTGAGGGGAAGAAAATACAGCCTTGCAATATTGAAAAGTAAATCCACAAACCTTTTGTACACATAGTTCACTCTACCTTGAAACATCTAAAGCAGTAGCCTATTCATCCACGTGACTCTTGCTTCAGCCTGAGCTACAGTGTTTTTTTTCCCCTCTGATCTGTTTTGTACATTTCACTTCAGTAATGGAGGCCAAGCTCGCATTGTGTTTCACTTTATCTTGTCCTGATTATTGTTATGTGACGTTTGACACTCGATGGGCCACACCAAATAAACACCTTTGTATTAGCCATCAGAGGCATTATTTCGACGTGCCATCAAAATTCATGTTTGGAACAATAAAGACCCCCAGTTTTGTGTACAGAGGAAGAGGACTGTAAGTGTCAACAGGGGGCAGTAAATCGCTACGTATTAGCAGAAAGACGGTACCCTGACTTCCTTTGTCTGTGGGAGATGGTAAAAGCAATGGATAGTTTTGTTATTTCTGATGCTAAAAAGCATCAAAACAGATTTTGTTCCAATTCTGACTGTGTTGCTTTCAATGAAATATATTTTGATTACACATATTTGCATGAAATGATTATTGTTATAAAAATTCATTAAACGTGTTATATTTTATTTGGGTACAACATTGAAAGATTCTAGAAACTTTACTAAATCACTAAATGTTGTTGGTTTGTTTTTTCTAGCTAAGCTGGACGCACATCTTCCAAAATATCATATGTGGTTTTACTAAAACAACAACTGTGAAAGATATTTCTTTGTTAACAGTCAAATAACTAACCTTCTTTGTACATTTCTTAGCGTATTTTGATGTTATCATTTATTATACTATGTTAAAATGTCTGTAATCAGTTGTAGTATGTTACATGTAATTTTTTATAATAATTTACTGATCTATATAGCATGACAATTAGCTCAGGTTTTATAAATTTTGTATATTCTGCATTAATTAATGATCATTAAAATTTAATTGATTTTTTTTATATGTCTGTTTATGGTGGTCTCACCTCTTATATAAGGTACATATATATTCAAACCTTTCATTAAACTATTGTAAACCTTAGGTAATTTGATTAAAATGTTAACTTCAAAAGCCACACGTAGTGGAGAAATTTAAAAGGACTGTTGGAATTAAAACATCCCAGTGAATGAAATTTAGGTGTATTTGGGTGGAGGGGGGGGGTGAGTAATTGAAGCTAAGGACACGACAGCAGACAGAAGAATTTCCCCCACCTCTGTGTACAATGCAAATCAGCCTGATTCCCAAATTGTCTCTAACGGTGCCGCACAGTTTCTAAAGACAGCATGTGCTACAATTGTTTTTTTTTTTTTCAATTTCATAAGGGGAAGTAATGGGTGTCTTTACGACTCAGGGAGAAAATTGCAGTTTTTTTTATAGCCGGAAAAACAGCCTCCACCGATGTCTGCTGGAGATGTCAGATGGACGCCTTTAACGCACATCGCAGGTAGACAGCTGCGTTTTGGCCGTGTGCGAACCAAAGGGCCCACAGGTCACCGGCCCCCCGGCTACGTGGAAGCTGGGGAGGCGAGGCCGTGAAGTGCATCGCACCTCAGCTCCTCCTTAAGTTAATCAGCAATGTCCTGCCCTGGACCTGTAACGCGCGGCTTTCAGTCACACTGCTGTCCTCACATTTAATAATTCTTTCTCCATTTCTATGCAAAAAGCAGCTCTGTGTGGAGGTGGTATTATGTCTTTTATTGTGCGTGTGCTGTGCTCACTCTCGCTCTCTCTCTCCTTCCCTCTCTCTCTCTCTCTCTCTCTCTCTCACTCTCTCTCCCTCCCACCCTCCTTCACGCTCTCCCGCTAACAGTCTGCCGTTCCCTCGCTGTAAGTTCATTTGATGAAGCGAGCAACAACTGTCTCAGAGCACTGGGGCGTCTCTCGCGCTTTTGTCGAGCTCCCGTGTCGGCTTCCTCTACCTGCAGATCCGGGCCTGTCCCTCACTCGGCAGGCTTGG